CACCTCGCCCGGCTAGTTTTTTGCATTTTTTAGTAGAGACGGGGTTTCACCGTATTAGCCAGGATGGTCTCGATCTTCTGACCTCGTGATCCGCCCATCTCGGCCTCCCAAAGTGCTGGGATTACAGGCTTGAGCCACCGCGCCCGGCCTATTTTTATTATTTTTGAGACAGAGTCTGTTCTATCGCCCAGGCTGGAGTGCAGTGGCACGATCTTGGCTCACCGCAACCTCCGCCCCCGGGGTTCAGGTGATTCTCCTGCCTCAGCCTCCTGAGTAGCTGGGATTACAGGTGAGTGCCACTTCACTCAGCTAATTTTTGTATCTTTAATAGAGACGGGGTTTTACCATGTTGGCCAGGCTGGTCTCCAACTCCTTACCTCAGGTGATCTGCCTGTCTTGGCCTCCCAAACTGCTGGGATTATAGGCATGAGCCAATGCACCCAGCCAGGAAACATATTTTTTTAAAAATGTATTTTTAAGAGTCAGGATCTCAGTCTGTCACCCAGGCTGGAGTGCAGTGGTGCAATCTCTGCTCACTGCAGCCTCGACCTCCCTGGCTCAAGGATCCTCTCGCCTCAGCCCCCTGGCTCTCCCTGCCTTCCCAGTTGGGGCTACAGGCATGCACCACCACGTCTGGCTAATTTTTGTATTTTTTGTAGAGATGGGGTTTCTGTATGTTGCCCAGGCTAGTCTTGAACTCCTGAGCTCAGGCAATCCGCCTTCCTCAGTTTTCCAAAGTGCTAGGACTATAGGCATGAGCCATCACACCCAGCCTTCCTCCTTTTTTTTTTTTTTTTTTTTCCAGACAGTCTTCCTCGTTCGGAGAGTTGGGACAGTATTAGAGGAGAGAACCAGAGGCCTGAATAAGAGTTAGTGGTGGTGATGAGGCATAGGAGAGAAGGGAAAGGCCTAGAGAGTTCCGTGGGAGTGTCAGGTGTGACATAGGGGGCCGGGCGTGGTGGCTCACGCCTGTAATCCCAGCGCTTTGGGAGTCCAAGGGACGATTGCTTGAGGACAGGGGTTTGAGACCAGCCTAAGCAACACAGTGAGACGCCATCTCTATAAAAAAAATTTAAAAATTAGCGGGACATGGTGGCATATGCTTGTTGTCCCAGCTACTCGGGAGGTTGAGGCGGGAGGATCACTTGAGAGCAGGAGGTTGAGGCTGCAGTGAGCTGGGATCACACCACTACTCTCCAGTCTGGGCAATAGAGCAAGACCCTGTCTCTAGAAAAAAAAAAAAAAAAAAAACATGCAACATGGGGCTTTGGGTACAGAGCTGACTCCAGGCTTTGGGGCTGAGGACGGCCCCTCCTAGTGTGTGAGGCCAGTGAGGGGGGAAGCTGGGTGGGGTGAGTATACAGAGGGCGCTCTCCTGTCTACAGACACTGAGAGGGCCTGGATAGGAGATCTAGGTGTCCTATGGGAGTCAGCAGGAAGGGTCACAATGCCAGGGAGGTGGCATGGGGAGCAGAGCCCATTGTTACCTTACCCCACAGGTCCCCAACCCATCCACCGTCCTCAGCACAGGAGAAAGAAGGCTGGCCCAGCCGGCAGGTCTGCCACCGTGATATTAGTGTAAGGCACTTCCTCACTAGGACCCTGGGAACTTGGGATACCCAGGGCTTCTCTCCATAAAGAATTATCTGGAGGGGCTCAAGGGTCCAAGGAGAAGTGGACCTAGTGTTTCCAGAGTGGCCTGTTCTGGGCGTCAGACTGGACAAAAAAGAATGGAGGTCTGCCCCAGGCCCTGTTCTGCTTCCTTATATGCCTTAGTTTCCCCATCTGAGGATATCCTGGGGCTCTGGAAAGGGAGCCTCTTCAGTGGACCCAGCCGCTGCTCCCTGGATGTCCTGCCATGCTCCCTCCCAGCCCTGGCTGGCCTCCCCCACCCACCCCAGGCTCCTGGCCTCCCAGGAATGTGCTTCTCAGCCCCCAATCTGGGCGCCTGTCTTATCGGCCCCCAATCGAAGGGGAGACAGACGCCCCGGTCGACAATGACGGCCCCTCCTGTTAGCCCCAGCCTGACCCTGAGTTGAGGGCCAGCCAGCGCCTGCTAAGTGCCTGGAGGAGGAATACCTCCCCTTCCCCACACTGACATGAAACCCGACCTCCTGTACCGGCTCCTTTGTGCCCGCTGGGCGCCCGCGCCGGCGTCAGAGGCCCTGGGTCCCCGCCCTGCCGCACACTGTGGCTGCCAGGGTGGGATTTGCTCTGCCTGGGATGCTTCCAACATGACCTTAGCCTGCTTTGCTGGAAAACCAAGGTTGTCTGCGAGGGTCCCCTCACCCTGCTCCCAGTCCCCAACCCTTCAGAGTCTTGGTCCAACCCCTGCTGTATGAGGCCAGACCTTCTCACATCCCTCCAGCAAATGCACATCCCTCCAGCAAATGCACATCCCTCCAGCACTCCAGGCTCTCCCCCTCCCCTCCAGAGCAGGGAGGAAGGCTCCTGAACCCACTCTCATCAGGCACTGGTCTCAGCCCACTCCCCAGGGAACGCCCCTCAGGGCGCTTGTGGGACCCTCATGCTCTTGGGATCCACCTGAGAACCTTCTCAGCCAGTTCTCCCTCTTGGCCAGTTCCAGTCTCCTCGGGGGACCTCAGAGCCCTGTCCAGAGCATCCCTCGTCTTCCACACTTCCCTCCAAGGCTGCACTCCCCTTGTTTGTGAAGGCACATCCATTTGTGTGCCTCCCTCTCCCTCCTGCCTGCCATTATCCTGGTTACCAGGAGCCTTAGCATGGCTGCAACTCAGTCCCTTCCCAGGCCACGTCTCCCTGGATTATCACTGCCTGGCTCCTGAAGCCCTTTCCTGGCTCAGCCTCCCTCGGCCTCCCCAGCTGGGGCTGCCTTCCCTCCCTGGCTACTGCAGGTCAGGCTACCCAGGCCTGGCCTCTTTTCTCCATGAACCCTTGCCCCTTGAGCATCTCACACATGCCCAAAGCTACACATACCATTGATCTACTACTGGATGACGGCACCCACATTAGGACTGTCTGCTCCAACCCCCACCCCAACACCACACTCAGATTGTTCCAAGCGATGTCACACAGAGGCCTCAAATTTGATGAGGCCAGAACAGGATCCTCTATCCCCCTCACCTTCTCCCCACAAGCCCTCCATCTCAACAAAGACCACCACCATCCATCCACTCTGCAGCTCAGGCCTCTGAATCCACTTGGACTCCCCTCTCTCAGCCCTGTCCCATCTGTGGACAAACCCGTATCCCACCCCGCCTCGTCCTCCAGATTCCACCCCCCCAAATAATCACTGTCCCTTAAAGCCTCCCCATGCTCACGGATTCCTCTGGCAGTCCACTACCCTAAGAGCAAACACAGAGGGTTTTGTTTCGTTTTGTTTGTTTTGAGTTTAGTAACATATACATAACATAAAATTTGTCCAAACTATTTTTAAGTGTTCAGTTCAGTGGTATTAAACATTCTTATGCAACCATCCCCACCATCCATCTCCAGAACTTTTTCATTTTCCCAAACTGAAACTGCACTCATTAAACAATAACTCCCTGATCCTTCTCATATGAGTGGAACCATACAGTATTTGTCTTTTTGTGACTGCCTTTTTTTTTTTTTGAGACAGAGTCTCACTCTGTTGCCCAGGCTGGAGTGCAGTGGCATAATCTCGGCTCACGGAAACCTCCATCTCCCGGGTTCAAGCGATTCTCCTGCCTCAGCCTCCCGAGTAGCTGGGATTACAGGCGCCTGCCACCACGCCCAGCTAATTTTTGTGTATTTTCAGTAGAGACGACGTTTCACCGTGTTGGCCAGGCTGGTCTCAAACTCCTGACCTCAGGTGATCCACCTGCCTCGGCCTCCCAAGTGCTGGGATTACAGGTGTGAGCCACTGTGCCCAGCCTTGTGACTGGTTTACGTTACTGAGCGTAATGTCTTCAAGGGTCATCCATGTTGCATCATGTGTCAGAATTTCATTCCTTTAAGGTTGAATGGTATTGTTTTGCATGTAGACACCACACTTCGTCTGTCTCATCGCTGGGTGAACCGATGTGAACCATTGTGAATAATGGGGCTATGAACACGGGTGTATGAATATCTGTTTAAGACCCTGCTTTTGATTCTCCTGGATATGTACCCACAAGTAGCATTGCTGGATCATACGATAATTCTATTTTTAGTTTTTTGAGTCATGGTCATGTTGTTTTTCACAGTGGATGCACCATTTTATATTCCCACCAATGGTGCCCAAAGGTTCCAATTTCCCCATATCCTAGACAACACTTTATTGTTTTGCTTTTCACAGTTACCATCCTAATGGCCACAGGGATCCTTGTAAAGTGACAAAATTCACATCTTCCCAGAGGCATCCTAGGTTACCCCACCTAGCACTGCGGACCCCCACGTGTCCTCACCCCTCAGTTGGCAATACTCTCATCAAGTGTCGGCACTAGCTTATTGAATTGACTGCCTCCTGGCTGGACATTAAGAGACAGTGTCTTTTACTGGATGCTGTATCCCCAGCATACAGTTGTTTAGTAAACGGAGGAAGGAAGGAAGGGAGGAAGGAAGGGAGGAAGGGAGGGAGGGAGGGGAAGGGAAGAAGGGAAGGAGGGAAGGAGGGAGGAAATTTCTATTTTCCACCAAAATATTGAGGCTCTCTCCTGCCTGTCCATTTGCTCTGGTGCGCCTCTCAACCCTCGGGCCCCACCTGGACTCAATCCCCCAGTCCGGCCTCTCCTTCCGTGGCCCCCGGGAAGAATCCCGACAGGGCCCAGCACATTTGAGTGGGGCCCTGGAGGTTTGGACACATTCCCGAATGCCTCCCTGCTGTGGATCCGGTGGGCCTGTCTCGGGTTCGCAGCGAGGAGAACATTGTGGCTAGGTTGTCAGTGAGCTGGAAGTGAGCCAGCACTGTCTGAGCCGCCACACTCCCTGCGCCCCCCACGCGCCCCGCTACGCGCCCGCCCCCACGCGCCCCGCCCCTTCCTGTTTTGCCTCGCCTGCTCGGGTCTTCGCTCCTCTAATCCTACGATCTTAGCCCCGCCCCCGTGGTGTCGTGGGTCCTCGCTACTGGTCCTCTCCTAGAAAGCCGCGAAGTGACCAGTTCCTCATTGGCCACACGTTCTCCCGCGCCACCACCGCAGCCACAACAACCGCCACGTGCTCAACCTTGGCGCCTGCCCATTGGCCACCAGCCTCTACCCGCCCACTCTCCCTTTCCGCCCCTAATTGCCCTCTTCCTCCTTCCATTGGCTGCCGGGCTCAGGGGCTCTCTTTTCAGCCGGGGCGAGCAGCGCCTCGGATGCGGATTGGTAGAAGGCGGGGCTGGGAGGCGGGTTAAAGAGCGCGTTGCTGGCTGGGCCACGCGTGCTTGAGAAGGTTCAATGGCGTGGCAGGGACTAGCGGCCGAGTTCCTGCAGGTGCCGGCGGTGACGCGGGCTTACACCGCAGCCTGTGTCCTCACCACTGCGGCGGTGGTAAGCGGCCGGGCGGACCGGACGTCGCCTTGGTTACAGCCTCTGGCGGGAGGGTGAGGGTCGCCATGGTTACGGCGTGGCTCCCTGGCAGCTCTTGACTGGCCCCTGGTTCTACAGCAGCTGGAGCTCCTCAGCCCGTTTCAACTCTACTTCAACCCGCACCTTGTGTTCCGGAAGTTCCAGGTGAGGCCGCCCCGCCCCGCGCACCTGTGGGCCCGGCCCGCCCACCCCGCACCTGACAGCCCACCCCGCACCTGACCACCCGTACTCCGCAGGTCTGGAGACTCGTCACCAACTTCCTCTTTTTCGGGCCCCTGGGATTCAGCTTCTTCTTCAACATACTCTTCGTGTATCCTGCGCCCTGCAGACATAGGCTGGGTGGAGGGCAGGCCCGCAGGGCTGGGAGAGCCCGGGACGGGGAAACTGAGGCCCCACCTGGTGGCACTTCCTATACCGACGCCGTAGGTTCCGCTATTGCCGCATGCTGGAAGAGGGCTCCTTCCGCGGCCGCACGGCCGACTTCGTCTTCATGTTTCTCTTCGGGGGCGTCCTTATGACCGTATCCTTCCCGCAGGCTCTGGAATCTCGGGCTAGGGCGCCTCGGGGTCCGGCCTGTGTTGGTCCTGGGGCTTGACGGGAACAGCCGTACCAGAAAGGGACACAGTCGCTCTCTCCAGCTTAGTCTGTGTTGAGGGTCGACTTTGTGCTCAGCTGCAGGGGCCAGGGCTAGATCTTCAGTGCTCTATGCAAAATACAAGGCGATGCACAAAAGAGCCCGGTGGGGTGTCAGGGCCACTAGCTGAGCCCTGAATGCGAGTAGCCGGGAGAAACTGGGGCAGGGACAGGCAGTGGTTGGACCCTGGGATGAGGCTGTAGGTGTGCAGGGCAGATCTCATGGGACCTGAAGCGGACTGTCTGTCGCCTTTATTGATGAGGGCTCATCTTGATGAGGGAATAGCACAGAGGGGAGATGAGGGGAAGAATTCCGGGGGCTTGAGAAGTCAGAGGGGCCCTGAGCTTGGGCTGAGGCCTGCCACCGGAGCACCTTGACTCTAGCCCAGCTGCTGGGATTCCTGGGCAGTCTGTTCTTCCTGGGCCAGGCCCTCATGGCCATGTTGGTGTACGTGTGGAGCCGCCGCAGCCCTCGGGTGAGGGTCAACTTCTTCGGCCTGTTCACTTTCCAGGCACCGTTCCTGCCTTGGGCACTCATGGGCTTCTCGCTGCTGCTGGGCAACTCCATCCTCGTGGACCTGCTGGGTGAGCCTCCTGGTACATCCAGTCCACCCCAGGCTGGCCACTCCCCTCAGGACAGACTGCTTATGCCCTGGGGCCCCTCTCCCATCCGTGCTGGAGCTCTGCTCACATCTGGACCTCTCATCTGGCTCCATCCCCATCTTCCTGCCCTCCCCGCTGCTGTGCTCTTACAGCCCCTCAAGCCACCCGGCCCACATAATTTGCATCTTCAGGGCTGATCTGCTGATGCTTGCGTGGTCCTGATGGGGGTGGGGAATGGGCGGGTCAGGGTTCCTGCCCCATGGCTCCCACTCCTCCACTATTCTCAGGCCCTCCCCTCCCTGTGTCCTGTCTGCTTCTGGGCCCTTTAAGCTTGTCCTTCAGGGCCCACCCTGGGCTGACACTCTGCAAGATTTTGGGGAACTCATGCTCTGGGGCCTGCAGGGCCACCAGGCTGTGGATGGGGGCCGGGGCAGGTTCTGCTGGTCTAGGACTCTGGGCTGTGGAAGGTGACCCTGCAGTCCGTGGCTGTCTCACAGGGATTGCCGTGGGCCACATCTACTACTTCCTGGAGGATGTCTTCCCCAACCAGCCTGGAGGCAAGAGGCTCCTGCTGACCCCTGGCTTCCTGTGAGTGTTGAGAGTCCTCCCTCCCTCTCCCCGCCCTCAGATGGGTCCCCACCAATGGGGACCTGTGCTGGCCTCTGCTCAACACGGGCCCCTCCCCACAGAAAGCTGCTCCTGGATGCCCCTGCAGAAGACCCCAATTACCTGCCCCTCCCTGAGGAACAGCCAGGACCCCATCTGCCACCCCCACAGCAGTGACCCCCACCGAGGGCCAGGCCTAAGAGGCTTCTGGCAGCTTCCATCCTACCTGTGATCCCTACTTGGGGCAGAAAAAACCCATCCTAAAGGCTGGGTCCATGCAAGGGCCCACCCGAATAAACAGAATAACCTGCAGTCTCTCGGCCCACAGCACTGGCTTCCCCACCTCACCCAGTCACATCCTTCTCTGCCTGCCCCATCCTCACTCAGTGTGGCCTCTCAGCCCAACTGTAGGTGGTAGGATAGGGGTGCCCATAGAGGGCAAAGAAACTGCCCATGGTTGCCCGGCAGAGCTTTGAGCTCACAGGTGACAGGCTCAGGGTTTTCATCCTGGCCCTACCAGGGCTTTTGGGCAAGTCCTGCCCACCATAGGCCTCCGCTCCATGCCAGTCAGTGGGGAATTTCACCAGATTTCGGCTGCTGGGGCCAGGACAGGCCTCTCCTAGACTGTGCCGAGCCAGCCTACAGATAGATGTTCTGGCCAGTGGTGCCTTCAGGCTGATGCTGATCTAGCCTCTCCTGTTCCTCATCAGCCACCCTGACAGGTGGGCCTATAACTCATTTATCATCTGGTGACACCAAAGCCCCATGGAGTCAGGTACAAAAGAGGGCCAGGACTGGGTCTTTCTTCTGCCCTTTCTATGACCCCAGAGCCTTAGTTTTCACCTTAGCAGAGTCCTGAGACTAGGTGAGGGAGGGACTTCTGGAAGGTTCTGTTCCTGCTCTTTTTAGCTGAGGACCTGTGTGAGCCTTATCTGACCCCTACAGCTCACTTTTCTCTTCTGACCTGGCAGCTTTCCTTGTTGCTCTAGGCCTGTCCATGTTGTGGTTTATTTCTGGATGCTCAGTGGCACGGGGCCTCCTCCAGCTACAGGTTGTCATTTTCATGGTAACAACACTGTTCTCTGTTGAATCTGCCCTCCATGTTGTAGCCAGACCTTGTGGAGCTGGCTCTGCGGCGGTGTGAACTGGCAGTCAGGAGGGAGGGCCCGGCCTCCCCCGGCACCTCCCAGCCAGGTGGCCCTGCCCGACCTGTGGGGTGAGGCAGCCAAGGTTCCTTCCATCCCACCAGTTGTGGAGACACAGGGCTGCCTCACCCTTTCATTGCCAAGGTTCCTGCCTCATGGATGGAACAAACACCTCAGCAATGAAACCTGTTCATGTCCAAGAGCAGCTGGGCTGGGAATCTTCCCTTTTGTTCAAGGCCTTCCAATAGGGCCCAGCTGTCCCCTTGCTGTGCGTGGGGCTCTGGGGAGTTCCACTCTTTGATGCAGGGCAGAGGCCCTGAGTGCAAACTCCCTCGGTAGAGTCTCATGCTAACATGTGCTCAAAGGAGCCCCCATCTCACATCCCAGCGACCAAGAACCTCAATCCCTAATCGGAGCTCTGCCTCTGCCCACATGGGGCCCTACCCCATTTCCAGGGAGCACGGCAATCTCTGACCCTAGCCCTGCCCTGGCAGCAAGGGACTTGCCAACAGCTGAGGGTGGCAGCAGTCTGTGCTGGGATCTGTGCCCACTCCCTTCAGTGAGGCTGGACCTGCGAGCCAGTTTGCTGCCCTCCCAGATCCTATGTCCATTCTAAAGAGTGGGGACCCCTCCCTATTACAGATGAGAACACAGAGGGGACACGAACTCCTTGGAGGCAGGGCTGGGAAGGGACCTCGGGCTATGTCTCCTCCCTGCACCGTGTCAACCCCAAGAGCTGGCACCAGGCCGGGAGGGCTATTCCCATACTCCTCACAGCTGGCCTGTGAGGCAGGAACTGGCCCAGGCCACAGCGCCTGCTGGGGTGGGAAAGGGCCCCAGTTGACCTGGCTATGGGTGCCACTGGAGCTAGAACAGCCCTCCTGCACCCAGGCTAGCGACAGCCCAGCAGTGCCCACACAGGACTGGGCCCTCCGCAGGGGACTTCAGAGCAGCAAGGCCCCAGCTGGCAGTAGCCTGACCATCTGAACACAGCAGAGCCAGGGCGGCCCAGGGACAGCAGGAGAGCTCACGGCACCTTTCTGAGGCCAAGCAAGCGGAGCAGAGTTAGGGCTGTTGCTGAAAGGCAGAGCACTCTGCCCTGAGCCTCGCAGCCACTCTTCTCAGCTCTCTGGGTCTGGAAGGAGAACAGGCTGAGGGGAGCTGAGGTGCTACCAGAAGCTGCATTCACCCTCACTCGCCCACCTGGGAATCGGAGGCAGAGGAGGGCGAGGCCTGTGTGCCAGCCTTGTTCACATGCCACCTTTGTCCCCCCAAGCCCCAGCCCCCCTTCTGGCTCTCATTATTTTTATGCTAAAACTTTGAAGAAATTGAACATGACCTGTTGCCTTTTATTTAAAAACTGTTACTAGCCCTGCCTGGGGCTCCTATACAAAAACAAAACACAACCTAAAATAAGGTTTCTTCCTGACCCTAGAGACTGGGGAGGGGTGGGGAGGGTGGGGGGCAGGACTGGGGCTCAGCAAATGGAATGTGTGCCGGGAAGGGCCACCCGGAAGCCCCCACTCCACCCCTACCCCGATCCTCAGGATGGCGCTGGGCTGTCCCCTCGCCTCTGTCCTTGCCAGAAGATGGAGGAGAGGCGGCCCAATCTTCTGAGATGCTCCGTGGGAGCCGCGTGCTGATGGGCTGGTTACCAGGCCGGGGCTGTGTTGGCGAGACGCCTCATCCGCCTGGAAGAGGAGTGGGGAGGGCAATGAGTCGGGGCCAGTTCCCAGCCTGGGTGCTGCCCTTCCCAAGGCTCTACAGGGCAGCCAGGTGTGGGGGTGGGAACAGAGGCAGGATATGGCCCCCAGCAGGTCTGGACCCAGCCTTCTCTCAGCCTCACCTGTCTGCCACTCAAGCCCTGCTCATCACTCCAGGGACCCCAAAACCTGGATCTGGGCTGTGGTCAGACCCTCAGCCTGAGGAATTGTGTTTGTTCCCTGCAGGGAAACATACTCTGGGGCTTGGATGGGGCCTCATCACCCAGAAGCCTGCCTGCCTCTAGCAACACTAGAGGTTCCCAAAGACCATGGGAGACTGGGAAAGGCAATGGCCCTGCCCCTGCCTGGAAAGCCAGGTGCCTGTAGGCAGAGCCCAGGACCACAGGGCCAGGGGTACCTCGTGTTCCTGTCCTGGTCGCGGATCTTCTTCTCCATCTCGGCGTCTGTCAGCGTCTCCAGCAGCGGGCACCACTGGTCCGCATCGCCCGTGTTCCGGATGGCAATCTCCACTGTGGGCAGAGGGTTCTCACTACGAGGAGGGGAGGCAGTGAAAGGAATGACTTTTCCAGCTACAGATGGAGAGTCCTCAGAAAGCTCTGGCCCCTGTCTGTGCCCTGCTCCTCCCAGCAGCACTGTTGGCACCCAGGGGATGCTCCAGTCACCTGAACCCCAAGGGAGCTGCTGGAGGCGCCAGCGCCTCTCCAGAACAACAGTGTTGTCACCATGACCCCATGGGCTTCCCTTCAAAGTGAACTTTCAACAGGCCCTTTGCGCCCAGCATCTCTCTGTCTCTGAGATGGAGGAGGGGGCCATTGGCTGTGGAGGTGGTCGTCCTTGACAGGACAGCACGGGCTGGGCCACGCTGATGCCACAGTGCCACAGTCAGGAGGTGGAACCCATAGGAGCAGGAGGACTGTATGCTCCACCCAGTGTCCAGAGCCAGGGCCCACTGATCAGGGAAAAGGGATGGATGGTGAATGGGAGCAAAGGAGTCTCCCAGAAGTCCCCAGCGCCCCACTACTGAGGGCCACTGCACAGCCTGTTCCCTGCATGTTCTACACACTTGCCCCTCAGCCCACCTCCTGGCCAAACAAAACCCCCCGACAGGCTGGTCTGTGCTTAGGATCAGACAGCTGGCTGGCAGGGAGCTGGACTGAAGCCATATCCCTGGACCACACTTTGCTCTGGGTCTCGTAGGGACCACCCGACTCTGCCCCAAGGTACCCTCCTCTTGCCAAGGGGATACAGCAGAGGAGGGGGCAGCAAGGGCAGAGGCTACACAGGCATGGGGTGGACACAGGAGTGCTGGGGGAGGTGGGAGGGTGGCTGGCTGCCCCTTTTCTGGGCCTTGATTTGCAAGTTTGTGATAGGACGCTAAGGAGACCATAGCTGTGGATGCCACAGGGCCCGTGTGCCTCCCACATGCAGTGGCCCCTGCCACCCCCACCTCTGAGACAGCAGCTTTGGGTGCTGACAATGTTTCCCGGTTGAGTGACACCAGACCCCTGGCTTGGCAGAAGGCCTCAGACTGCGGTCCTAACCATGACTCTCCCACTTCCCCTCCCCTCTCCACGGTCCTTTCCTTTCTCCTCCACTTGGGCACCTCCACTTGGCTCTCCCTAGACTCAGCCCTGGGAGAAGGACACCCTGCCAGCCTGCAGCTCTGCAAAACACAGTGAGTTCTGGGAGGAGCAAGGACAGGCCGGGCTCAGGGGAAGCGCCAGGCGGACACTGATAGAGTAAGAGAGGACAGGTCCCTGCAAACCTCATCTGGAATATGGAAACATTTATTGCTGTGAAGGGCTTTTGAAAGATGACTGTTACTAAAGCAGCCAACACACATCCATTGAGGGAGCTTCCTAGGGGCCAGGGACCTTCTCACGGCCTCCCTGTAGCCGGCACTCAAGGTTGTGGGACCGGTCCGCCTGCAGAGCGAGCCCCGGCTCCCTATATCCACACCAGTGAGCACACACCCAGCACCGGGAGCCACGAGCCCGTTCCAGGTTGGGCTCGGTG